GTTCAACAGTTACCACAGAACCCCAGAACAACCTACCAGAGTCTCGAACTTGGAGCGCGTGAGAGTGAAGCTCAAGTGCTTCGCTCCTGTGGCGTCAGCAGTGATGAACGGAATGTTGATGTCCGTCTGACTCGTGCTGGACAGCTCGCATTTGGCCTTCTCAGCCGCCTCCCTCAGCCGCTGCAGGGCCAGGCGGTCCTTTGTGAGGTCGATGCCCTGCTCCTTCTTGAACTCGTCAACTAGATGCTGGAGCAAAGCATTATCGAAATCCTCTCCTCCCAAGAAGGTGTCTCCGTTGGTAGCTTTCACCTGAAAGCCAGGAGAGCACGGAACAGCAGACGAGAGGGGGGGAAACGGAGAACAAACGGTCAAGGAGCCAGCACGGGAGCAGGCAGCAAGCAGCATCAAGCCAGGCGGTCCTTAGTAAGAACGATACCACCAGGCTTGATGCTGCTTGATGGCTGCTCCTTCTTGAACTCGTCCACCAGGTCCACCAAGTGCTGCAGGAGGGCATTATCTCAGTCCTCCCCTCCCAAGAACGTGTCTCCGTTGGTTGCTTTCACCTGGTGGACGGGCAGCAGCGGTGGTAGAGGAAGGGAGGGGGCAAGCAGGCAGCACACAACAGGCGGTCCTTGGTAAGGTCGATGCCCTGCTCCTTCTTGAACTCGTCCACCAGGTGCTGCAGGAGCGCGTAGAGGAGGGGGAAGGGCGGAGAGGAGAGGGAAAGGGGCATCTAGCCAGGACAGGCATGAGGCAAGGAACGGTCCTTCCTTGGTGAGGTCGATGCCCTGCTCCTTCTTGAACTCGTCCAACAGGTGCTGCAGAATCGCGTTGTCAAAGTCCTCCCCTCCCAAGAACGTGTCTCCGTTGGTTGCTTTCACCTGAAAGCCAGGAGCGGACGGAACAGCAGAAAAGAAGGGGAAAAACGGAGCACAAATGGTCGAGGAACGAGCACAGGAGCAGGCAGCAAGCAGCATCAAGCCAGGCGGTACGTGGTGAGCACAAACACGCCCACGAGCCCCTCCTTGCGGTCCATGCCGTACGACAGACTACCCTATTCCACCCACACAAACGGCAAACATACCTCGAACACACCGCCAGAGATCTCGAGGATAGAAATGTCAAATGTCACGCCTCCCAGGTCGAACACAGCCACGAGCCCCTCCTTGCGGTCCATGCCGTACGACAGACTGGCCACATCATGCTCCTACCTATAAGCTCACCCCAAAGACACACGCACCTCGAACACCCCTCCAGAGATCTCCAGAATGGAGATATCGAACGTGCCTCCTCCCAGGTCAAAAACCGCGACCAGCCCCTCCTTGCGGTCCATGCCGTACGAGAGACTCGCCGCCGTGGGCTCGTTGATGGTCCTCAGCACGTCCAGCCCTGCAATCTATTTTCCACAGCGGATTGCACTTGCTCCCAATGCACTCCTTCCCTGAGCCACTCATAGAAAGGGAACAAGTGACATACCTCAAACACCCCGCCAGAAATCTCCAGAATGGAGATATCAAAGGTGCCTCCGCCCAAATCAAAAACAGCAACCAGCCCCTCCTTGCGGTCCATGCCGTACGACAGACTCGCCGCCGTGGGCTCGTTGATGATTCTCAGCACGTCCAGCCCTGCGATCCGCCCCGCGTCCTTGGTGGCCTGGCGCTGCGCGTCGTTGAAGTAGGCCGGGACCGTGATGACTGCCTTGGACACGGGCCGACCCAGGTAGGCTTCCGCTGTCTCCTTCATTTTTCCCAATACAAAGGCCCCAACCTGGGACAAGGAAAGCAGGCAGACGGGAATGCAATGCAAGGGGGATAAGGCAACAGGGTTTAGGGCGCCGTGGGCTCGTTGATGATTCTCAGCACGTCCAGCCCTGCGATCCGCCCCGCGTCCTTGGTGGCCTGGCGCTGCGCGTCGTTGACCTGGGAAAGGGGCAAGGGGAAAGCATGAGGATGGGTTGGGATGGGTGCGCAAGAGGGGATGGGATGGTGGGGGAGATGTCAGGCAGCAGGATCACAGCGATTGTGTGGGCTTGTTGATGACCCTGGGCACCTTATTCACGTTTCATCTGCCGTTACAACTGCCGTTTTATCTCTACTGGCTCGGGGAGTACTTCTGCCCGCCCGCCTCCACCCACGCATCCCCGTTAGAAGCTACACGATATTATACAGCACATTCTTTCTTGATTCTGCGTCTGGGGGTCAACACACTGTCGCCAACTAGTGTGTCATCTACCGTAATGGCTCCCGTAACATCTACCAACTACCGTTACATGCCTGGCTCGGAGAGTACTTCTGGCCGCCCGCCTCAACCCACGCGTCCCCATTAGGCGCGCGAACGATATTATACGGCACCATCTTAGCCTCTTTCTGCGTCTGAGGGTCGTCAAACTGCCTCCCAATGAGCCGCTTCGTGCCAAAGAGGGTGTTGGTGGGGTTGGTGACGGCCTGTCGCTTGGCCGGAGTGCCAACCAGCCGCTCGCCCTTGGGAGTAAAGGCAACGACGGACGGCGTCGTGCGTGCGCCCTCCGCGTTCTCGATAACTCGGGGGGTCTGAATGGGGGTAGAGGGGGTAGGGGGTTTAGGGGGTCAGGGTAGAGGGGCGTAAGTGTCGTGACGGAATGCCCGCAAGCTGCTCGACCTTGGGGTTGAACGCAACAACGGACGGCGTCGTGCGCGCAACCACAGCGTTCTCGATAATCCGAGGAAAGGGGGGGAAGGAGGAGGCGGAAGGAGGAAGAAAAGGGGAGTCATGGAAGTGTCGCTTTGGCGGCCATAAAACAAATCAACATTCAAAACTCTAGTCTCAAACCTTGAAGCTCACCTTGCCTTCCGTCACAACGTTCTGAACCAGCTCAGAGCCAAGACATTTTTCAACGCTCAAACCTCAAATTTCACTTGCGTTCCATAACAGCGACCATGAGGTTACTGCGCAGTTGTAACAAGTTTACTGCTGCCTCGTTACAGACGCATAATGATATCCTCTAAGCTCAGCTCACCTTGCCCTCCATAACAGCGACGCAGGAGTTGGTGGTACCGAGATCGATACCGATAACATCGCCGCCCGCTGCGGAGCTGCACGCGAAAGAACAACGAGGACGGACGAATCCCACAAATGGGAAGAAGGGGCGGAAGTGAGGGAAAGGGCAGGCGAACTCGGTGGCGCCGTGATGAATGCCGATCGCATCGCCTTCTATTCAAAGACTGGTTGAGTGCAACCTAATCACGTGGACATGCAGAAGACGCGAGAGCAAGAAAGTCCACAAAATCCGGGAAACGAAGGGGAAGCGCGGAATGCGTCACAAGGGGGATTCGAAGCTCTGTCTCTGAAGCACGGACGGCGTGCTGCCGAAGCTCTGACCTGCGAACCGCAGATTCAAAGATGGACGATACCTGAAGGCTCGTGCACCGTTGGTCCATCGGCGCATGATGGACGATGCGATGGAGGTGACGCTGCACGGTGCGTATAGAAGCATCACATAAAGCCAACAGCACCAAGATCTCCTGTGAAAGAGGCAGTACCTGAATGCTCGTGCACCGTTGGTCCATCGTCGCATGATGGACGATGCGACGGACGCCGCTGGTGACGCTGCAGCTACCTCCTGCAATAGAAACAAGGCCGACAGGAGTGCGGAGAAGGATCATCTGGGAAAATGATCAGGTAGGAAAATGGACAGGTACGGAGGCGCTTGACGTAAAAATAGAACGAGAACGTCTAGTTTGGAAACAGCTGGAAAACACCCCTGCACGAAGCGAATTAGATAACGACAAGATAGGAGAGACAGAAACTTTCAACGTAGACCTCTGCTGCCCTCCCTTAGCGCATCTGCTCGATCTTGGATCGGTTGGCCGGTATATCGTCTCCTCAAGAAATTGATCTGGTGAAGCTAGTAAGCCTACTTATTCTTTTCACGAATCTTGCGAGGGTAGTGGAAAGATCTGACGTCAACCTAATGTGGTGACGTCAGGAATCTCAGCGTTAAAAACCTGACGTGGATCCGCAGAGATCTGATCTGGCACTTACTGCTGACTCTGGCAGAGCCCTCTGCATGAAGCTCTGAGCCGCTGCTGACGTGGAGAAGCTCGCAATCGCGCTGCCCGCGTTTCTGTTGGCCGATCGGGCCAGCAGCCTCGCCGCTAGGTACGCCGCCATGGTCGGTTTCGCAGATCCGAAAAAAGAAGGTTCGACTTATAACGAGTCGACGCTTGAAAGATAGCGAAATTCGTGGATGGAAAAACGGATCGGATCGAGCGGTGAAGATGGAAAACGGTGGAACGTGATCGGATGATCTGACGACGAAGCGAGAAGGATGAAGCTTAGACACCAACAACGAGCGACTCGCGAAAAGGCCTCACAACGGCACGAGATAAAGAGCCTCCCAAGGGACACGCACGGAGAATGCAAGGCAAATGATGTGAACTGCCTCTCGATGCTGTTGGGAGATGGACGACAAACACAAAAGATAGCGAGATTTGCGACACACGGTAACATATATTTAATGGTTAGCGATGAATTTTGCATTGGGATACCGACCCTGGTTACAGAATGTGAAATATCCCCGACATGGCGGCGAAGCGCAGCAGCTTCTAGAAAGGTGAAGCTCGCTCGATTCTTCGCTGCCATGCCCACAACCACTGAGATTGCTGACGTGGGCTGCTATTGAGGGAACGGCGAAGGGCAAACGCTTCCAGCACAAGCAACCTTGTACGCTGTATGGACGTGAGCGACATGGTTTTGAAGCTCTTTTAGTCAAGTGACGTTTGGAAATGATTTAGTATCAGTTTCTTTGGCACTGCACAATGTTACCAAGCTCAGACACAAGATTTGTTCTGAGTCGGAGCAAATTTGCTGGTTGAAGGTCTATTAAATCTTGTGGGAATGGGTATTAAAAAAACTTAGAGATGCATTCATCGCACTACAAGGCGAGCTTTTGATATTCCAAACCAGGAGTTTGCCCTGTAGGGCATGAACCTAAGTACATATTATGGTACTTCAGCTCTGTCCTACTTGTATTCTAGAAGCATATTGTTCTCTGGTGCAAGGCCCACACACGCCCGGAGAACATTCTCAAGCATCCCTCGTTGCTTGGCCAATGCATTCACGACAGGTGTGCCAGAGGGGACCTGCACACAAAAGGATATTACTGTGTCAGAAGCCAGGTGCAACATACCAAGAAAGCCAATCATCAAGTCTCAGAGGCTTCCCACTGACTGAAATTACTGGCACAGCTACCGGTAGTCTATTGAGGTCAAGCACCAGGCTGGTCTCTAGAAGGGTTGAAGTATGGAAACATGATACTGGGACCAGGCACGCTTCACAAGTTGGACAATGGAGTTGGGATGGCAGCTTGCACAAAAAACAGACAAGCAGAAGAGGAAAGAAGACACTGCATGGAAAAACGTGAATTCCCCCCCTTTTTCCAGTACTCCTTGAGTTAGGAAAGGGGCGCATACCAGCGGCGCTTTGGAGAGGTAGCTGAGCAGCGACGCGACCGGATGGAACGAGTGGAACTCCTCCTCCTCTTCCCTGCGCAGCTGGATGCGAGTGAAGAGCTCTGCCAGCAGCACGAGGTCGAGGATGAGCGGTGCGGCGAGCAGCGAGTCCTCGCACGTGTTGTGCATCACAATGGTGTTCCTGCCGCCCATGAAGATCTCTGATGTGTACTCGTCCATGGCCCTCTTGCTGTCCCCCACATATGGCACATACTGCAGGGGGGGTTGAGAAGGGAGATTGGAAGGGTCATTGGAATGGGGATTTGGAAGGGGGATAGGAAGGAATGTTAGGGAGAACGTTGGTTCTGCTAACCCCACATATTGCAAGAGGGATATTAGTGATGGAAATGGGGGCATTGGGTGGGGAGCGAGGAGGACTGGCAGCCTCGGTGATCTTATGTTAGTGTTAAGAGGTGATCAGTTTAGCTTAAGCAGCGTGTGACCAAACAGAGACAAGGAAGGTGATGAAGTCAGGATAAGAAGGAGCAAGGAAGTTGGGGGAATGGCAGAGAGGCGCTGGGCAGATTGGGCATGAGGAGTCGGGTGGGTAGGGGTAAGGAGGATAAATTTGAGAGAGTGAGGGAAGTGAGGGGCGGGGGATCGCAGGAAGGAATTTTGAAAAAGGGGAGAGAGGGCGGTTGAGAGGGAACAGAGACAGCTACAAGGAGTGAGCAGGGATCCGAGGGGGAAATAGGGGGGGACAGGCGGCGAGAACAAGAAAGGGCATACCTTGATGACAACGACGTGGTCTGGGTGCTGGCCCTTGTCATAAATGATGGAATTGGAGGCCACCATGTCGTCCACCACGTTGCTCTTGGAGATTTCCTTCGACCGGAACGTCTGCGGCGCTGACAGGTTCATACCGTCGTTGTTGCCCAGGTGGTTGTAACTCACTATCGACATGGGCTGGGGGGTGAAAGGAAGAAAGAGGGAGAGATGCGTGGAGGATGCAGGTGGGACAATTATACAAAAGCAGTACAAACAGATTCATGCCATCACTGTTGCCTTGTAGCTCACTCTTGCCATGGGCTGGCGGAAATAAGGGGAGCGGGAAGAGGGCGAGAGAGAGATCTGTCTGGAGGCCCTTGTTGTTTCCCAGGTGGTTGCAGCGTATCAAGGACAAATGCTCCAGGAAAGGGAGAGAGTGGGGCTGGCGAGGGGAAGGGGGGTAAGTAGGGGGACAAAGGACGACGAGACAAAGCCAGACCAGACGGGTTCATGTTATTGTTATTGGATCGAACACTGCATGGGGGTGCCAGGCAAATGCACAACACCCCACCCGCTGCATTAGTGCTTCAATGCATCAAGTGGATTGCCCTGTTGTCTAGTTACAGACGCGTGCTATAATACTCCCTCATTTCCACTATATCGTTCAGCGGTAGTGGCATACTCGCCAATACGTGTGAGGCGGCCTTCGTTGATCCTTTGGTCCTTTTCGCTATACCGTCATATCAAGATTCCTCCTTACAATCAAGCTGCTAACCAGACTGCCATAATCAGCAATTTAGTGCTGTAACCTCCGGTTCAAAGGATTCTTTATAGAAACGCCCCTTACTGGGCTCGGATTGGCTTTAATTTCCATACCTTTAGGCCGTGCTCACCTTAATTCCTGCGCTAACGAGGAAGTCCACGAGAACAGACTTCATCTTCGTCTGCCCGGATTTGAAATCGTCTCCGCCAATCAGGCTGTTGTTCTCCAGCGCGTATTCGATCAGCCCCGGAACGAACGTGTTCTGCGGGCTGCCGTTGATGAACGGAACCTTCTCGTGGATGCACGCGGCGGCGTACAGCGTGGACGGGGAAATCTCGCTCTCGTTGCGGTCGATCGCGTTAAAGAGGTTCTCTTTTGTGTCGTTGAGGCCGGTGAGCACGTCGCTGTAGCGCTCCGTGTTGGCTGTCCAGAGAACGACGACGGAGTCCACGCCGCTCGTCTCCTTGAACTTCCTGCAGCACGGTTATGGGACGGTAGATGAGAAGGACGGATGGTGAGGAACGGCAGGAACTGGTGTCAGCTATCGAAGAGAATATCGAGAGAACTCAAAGAACGAGCAAGTGATGGACCGACCAAGAGAGCAGTCTGTAGACAGCCAATCCATTTACGCACTAACCTGATATCCTGAATAATCTGCTGCATCTGCTCCTTCTTTGTACCCTTGATGACATTGTTAGCGCGAGCCTCCTGATTCGAGGCAATGAAATCCGGGTCGTAGATCCCAGGCAGGGGTGTCATGTCCTTCATGTGGCTGTAGAGTTGCTTCTGCAGATCGATGTCCAGAACCTTCGCTCTGACCATGGCGTCAGCCAGGTTCATGCTCGAAATGTCCCAGCCGCCAAAAACAACCTCATTTGGATCAACCTGGAGGATAAGTGACAGAACAAAACTGCGACTGAGCCAACTGGGTCTGGACTAAAACACATTGTTCTTCCTCGTGGTCAGAACTGATAAGCGCATGGTTGATAACGTCAGTACACACCATGGGGAGGAGGCTCTTAAAGGGGACGTAGATCTCCTCGCCCTTGTACGAGCCGACACGGCAGGTTGACGCCTGGGTGACCGAACCGAAGTAGTTAGCAACTTGAATCCCATCCTTGGTCAGCCAGGAAATCCCTCTGCAAAAAAGAATGCCAAGTATACGACTTCTGTTCAGACACGGTTTGCCTGAGACTGGAAGTTCAGAAATGGATGGTACCAGAACAGAAAAAAAGCCACAATAGGGGATTGTTCTTAAGTGAAATCATTGATGCCTGAGAAGCGTAGGCTGTGTCCCTTACTCTCTGTTGGCGATGACTCCAGCTGTCAATGTGGAACCGTTATTGCCTCCCCAGCCTACAAGCATAACGCTGCAAGAAAACAAGCAAGTAATAAGCCACATTAGCAAATATTTTGAAAGTAAAAGCTAATGTAGTTGCGACATAAACAGGGCTTACCCTAACTTTGGGACTTTGGTCTGCGTCCTGAATTCATACTGCTTGCTGACTGGCTTAACTGTCCAGTCGAACTTCCCATCCCTAACAGCACAATCTAGGTCCGTAGTCTGGTACGAATATTTCGAGGTGATGTACTCGTCACCGTAAACAACATCTGGGCTAGCAACCTTGAAGCTTTCGACCAACATGTTGGCGGCTAAGATACGTATTTACACGGTCTACGGGCTCTTGAAACTGCAAAAGGGGGACTTAGGAACAAGTCCGGTCCACCTCTAGATAGAAACAGAAGCTTGTTGCAGTTCTGTCTTCTTTGCAAGAGCTGAGGAATGAGCTGCCAAGAACCAGCCAAAGTTGATCCTCTTATGCAAGCTTCTCAGCTTCTTTCAAGCTCCTCTCCTCTCCTCTGAACTCTGGAGGGCTCATCTCTTCTCTGCTCCGTCGAATCCTCGGCCACCAGCACAACCGACCAGAAGGTTCGCAGGAGGACTGACGCCTGCGCGGGAAAGGAATCTGGGGAGGTGTAATGGGGCAGGGAGGGGGGAATGGAGTCGGGGAGGGGACGGAGCAACAAAGCCATTTCATTGGTTCCGCGAGCTTGTGAAGCTCTCCAAGCCTCCTCTTCATTCCCCAGTTGCCGTGATGAGAAGGGTTTTTATACGGGCCGTCACAAAACATTTAGGAGTTATCACGAGCAGTCACATGTTCCGCGAAAGCTATCACGGACAGTCACAAAATCCGCCAAATCTATCACGAACCATCACACGGGTATCACCCGCCATCACTTAAAGCCACTAATTTCTATCACGGGTAGTCACACTCGAAACTTTGCTATCACAGATGAACCCTGTCATCATTTCGTTGACCCACCCTGAAACACTGTACAGATTTGGGTACTTTATTTCGGGGTCCTGGTTTTTGTCCTGTATACGCGACCACATTGGGCGCAAAGCGGCCAAAATCATTGATACTCAAATTACGCCAGAAGCAGTTTGCAAAAGTACTCAACCGACAATTTTGCAGCATAGTAACTAAAAATACAGTTTCATCGAGTTTTAAGCACAATTCAGAAACAAAGTCGCCACCAGCAAGTCCGCACATACCCAACAAAAAAGGAAACGGTTTAGAACGCTTGGATAACCAGGACAGTGTTTGGAATTATTAGCCCTAACTACGGGAAGTCGTCAATAAGATATGATTATCTAATTGAACAAACGACACCACCAGCGGAGCTTGCTACCCGAGGGCAATTAAAAATAATCCTCCTACTGAAAGGCATGATATTGCGATGGTGTCGCATAATGTTTTGGGGTTGATGCCATGCGAAGAGGGGTTTAATTTTCTTCCAGATTCTAAATGATATACCATATTTTATACAATCGTGAGATCACGTAATGACATGCGATAAAACATCCAGGAAGATTCAATGAATTGTGAATTCTAGCAAAATTTATGTACGTTAAGATTTATTCACTATAATTATTTTTTTCCAGCTATGTGTTACATTCGTTTGAACGTAACCATGCATCTTTGCACCCGGCCAGCATAATTGATACTCAAATTATACCAACGACGTGATGTATCGATACACAACATCGATTTCACAGCTCTGATTGGTTCTCGCTTTGCAATCACACTATCTACGATTATAATTTCGCCGGAAAGTGACAGTTTTGTATCATGATTTCCGAACTCTGTAAAACATAATTGTTTAATTTTTTGTTAATAGTGCGATTGGGCGTCTAAAATTAAAAGTTTTTTGTCACGGTTTACTGGGATGTTTTGGGTCTCTCCAAATTTTGCTACCAGGTCGTTCTGATTATAGTCATAAAGCTTTATGCTTTTTTATTTGGTTTGTCATTATGTAGAATTGTTATGGTCCGTAAAAAATTGGTAATGTTTATTCTCATTCTGTATGTCAGATTTATATGACATAGCTACTGTAGGCTATAGTGGGGTAGCACATATGGGGTACAGTTTTCTAGGGTTTGCTTTTGTACCCAACTTTCCCTTAGTCAATTCATTTCCTCATTTCTTCACATGGTATAGAGCAGGTTCCCTAGTGGGAACGCTTCCTTGGGCCCACCACTGAAACCTTTTTTTTCTGACCGGAGCGACAGTCGCTCCTGCCCGAGGCGCGCCTTGTGGGCCGCCCTTCTGTCGAGCTCTCTCAGAGGCCCCTCTCACGGCCCCTCGCGCCACCCTTAGCGGCCCCGTCGCCGCCCCTAGCGGCCCCGTTGCCGCCCTTCCAGGCCCCTTGCGGCCCCTAGCGGCCCCATTGCCGCCCCTACGCGGCCCCAGCCGCCCCTAGCGGCCCTGTCGCCGCCCTTAGCGGCCCCGTTGCCGCCTCCCTCCCTACGCGGCCCCGTTGCCGCCCCTACGCGGCCCCGTCGCCGCCCCTAGCGGCCCCGTCGCCGCCCCTACGCGGCCCCGTCGCCGCCCCTACGCGGCCCCGTTGCCGTCCCTAGCGGCCCCGTCGCCGCCCCTAGCGGCCCCGTCGCCGCTCCCCTCCCTACGTGGCCCCGTAGCCGCCCCTACGCGGCCCCGTCGCCGCCCTTACGCGGCCCCGTCGCCGCCCCTAGCGGCCCCGTCGCCGCTCCCCTCCCTACGCGGCCCCGTCGCCGCCCCTACGCGGCCCCGTCGCCGCCCCTACGCGGCCCCGTCGCCGCCCCTAACGGCCCCGTCGCCTCCTCCCTCCCTACGCGGCCCTGTCGCCGCCCCTACGCGGCCCCGTCGCCGCCCCTAGCGGCCCCGTCGCCGCCTCCCTCCCTACGCGGCCCCGTCGCCGCCCCTACGCGGCCTCGTAGCCGCCCCTACGCGGCCCCGTCGCCGCCCCTAGCGGCCCCGTCGCCGCTTCCCTCCCTACGCGGCCCCGTTGCCGCCCCTACGCGGCCTCGTAGCCGCCCCTACGCGGCCCCGTCGCCGCCCCTAGTGGCCCCGTCGCCGCTCCCCGCCCCTAGCGGCCCCGTCGCTGCCCCTACCCGGCCCCGTCGCCGCCCCTAGCGAGCAGCCGAGCCGCCGAGCCGCCCAGCAGCTGAGCCGCCGAGTCGCCCAGCAGCCGAGCCGCCCCTGGAGCAGCCGCCACTGCAGCAGCCGCCCCTGGAGCAGCCGCCACTGCAGCAGCCGCCCCCGGAGCAGCCGCCACTGCAGCAGCCGCCCCCGGAGCAGCCGCCACTGCAGCAGCCGCCCCTGGAGCAGCCGCCTCTGGAGTAGTCGCCCCTACAACTGCCGCCCCTGGAGCAGCCACCCCTGCAGCTGCCGCGGAGCTCTCGCTCTACAATGGTAGCGGCCTCGCCGTTGCCGCCGTCGTACGCCTGCCCTTCTCGCCACTGGTGAGCACTGCCCTGCCCGTACTGCTGTTACTGCTGCTCTTACTGCTGCTGCTCTTTCTACTGCTACTGCTGCTCCTGGCGTGGCCAGATGCAGCTCCAGCGTCGCCCGCGTGAGTCCCTCACCCCCCAACAGCTTCGTGCGTGGTACGCTGGTTGGGGTTGTCGGGGTGGCCGTAGTGGGAGTCGTCCTGGAGTGAGTAGTTCCACAGCTGCTTGTAGTGGCCAGGTGCAGCTGCAGCGTCGCCCGCGTGAGTCCCTCACCCCCCAACAGCTTCGTGAGTGGTACGCTAGTTGGGGTTGTCGGGGTGGCCGTAGTGGGAGTCGTCCTGGAGTGAGTAGTTCGGCAGCTGCTTGTAGTGGCCAGGTGCAGCTTCAGCGTCGTCCGCGAGCAGTCCTTTCGCCCCAGCAGCTTCGTGAGTGGTACGCTCAGCGTGACGGGTCACGGGGTACTGCTCGCTGTCCGTACGTCATTCGCACTGGTGCTCGGACTGGTCAGCCTTGCGGGACGTTGGGTCACGCAGAGTCCCGCTGCTTCGCCCGTCTGAGCGACGCCTGGCGTACGGAGTTTGGCGACGCGGCTGAGCTCCCCGACTGGGTGGAGCTGCTTCGGCTGCGGGTAGATATCTATACTCTTGACTATGATGCTATCCTCACTGCCATGTATGCATTGCCTACTAGTGATGAGGGTGACTGTTACCTGTGTGTTCCGCCTGACCCGGGCATTGAGGCTGCTGCTCTAGGTGCTGGTGAGGCTGCTGCTCTAGGTGCTAGTGCGTCTGCTGCCCCAGGTGCTGGTGAGTCTGCTCTCTCAGGTACCACGTCGTCTCAGGCCTTACACACCTTCACTCTTGACTCGGGTGCTTCCCGCTCCTTCTTTCGAGACCGCACCACGCTTACGCCGCTCAGTCGGCCGGTTGCGGTCTCCCTGGCAGACCCCTCTGGAGGTCCTGTCCTTGCTCACTTCTCCACTGTCCTCCCGTGTCCGGCGGCCCCCTCTGGCACCCTGTCTGGTCTTTACCTCCCCTCGTTCTCTACGAACTTGGTGAGTGGTGCTGACCTACAGGATGCGGGGGTTCACCAGTTCACTCCTGCGAGTCAGCGGGTGACCCACTGCACGGACGCTCGGACAGGCCGACACCTGGCCACGTTTACACGTCGGCCGGGGTCGAGCCTGTACACACTGACCACTGCGTCTCCTCCAGTCACTGCGTCTGGTCAGGTAGCTGCGTCGGGTCAGGTGTTTGCTGCAGCGTCCAGGTCTGGTCCTGAGTCTGCCCCCTGTTCGTGTCGCCTCCTGTCTCACGAGACTCTCCTCTGGCACCACCGCCTTGGTCACCCCTCCCTGCTTCGTCTCCGAGGCATGGCCTCCCGTGTCCTTGTCTCTGGTCTTCCCCGGTCCCTCCCTCCCCTTCCTCCGGGGCCTGGCCCTACCTGCGTCCCATGTGTCGAGGGGCGGCAGCGGGCTGCCCCTCACTCCTCCCAGTTTCCTCCGACAGAGGCCCCGCTGCAGACGCTTCACATGGACGTGTGGGGCCCGGCCCGCGTCCGTGGACAGGGTCACGAGCGCTACTTCCTGCTGGTGGTTGACGACTACTCGCGTTACACCACAGTCTTCCCCTTGCGCAGCAAGGGTGATGTCACTGAGGTGTTGATCGACTGGATCCGCGCAGCTCGTCTCCAGCTCAGGCAGAGCTTCGGCTCGGACTTTCCTGTTCTGCGTCTGCACTCTGACAGAGGTGGAGAGTTCTCCTCTGGCCTTCTGCGAGCCTACTGTCGTGCACGAGGCATCCGCCAGACCTTCACGCTTCCGGACTCTCCACAGCAAAATGGGATTGCTGAGCGCCGCATTGGCATGGTCA